GGGAGCCCGATGCGGGACTCGATCCAGGGACTCCAGGATCATGACCTGAGCTGAAGGCAGTCGCTTAACCAACTGAGCCACCCAGGCGCCCCTTAAATAACCTTTTAGTAAAAATGTCAAGTGACTTTGCACCAAACTTCGTAATTTCTTTTCTTTCTTTTTTTTTTAAAGGTTTTATTTATTTATTTGACAGAGAGAGAGCGAGTGAGCACAAGCATGGGGAGCTGTAGGCAGAGGGAGAGGGAGAAACAGGCTCCCTGTCAAGCAGGGAGCCCGACGCGGGGCTCGATCCCAGGACCCTGGGATCACGACCCGAGCCGAAGGCAGATACCCAACTGACTGAGCCACCCAGGCACCCCTTCATAATTTCTTTTACTCTAGTGCAGCTGTGAAACAAGCATGATGAGCTTTGGAGTCAGAAAAAACTGGGTTCACATCCTAGTTTTGCTGGTGTTGAAGAATAAACAACCCAAAAGCATGTAGTTTAAGGATTAGAAACTGTCAGAAGCACTTTTATTTGGTTCAAATGTATTATAAACCACTACCAACCGGGGAGAAAGACTGTTTCTGAAAGTACTCTAAGATTTTTATAATTTTGAATAAAGGCTTAACTGTAGATGGGAAAATCCTATTAGTTCATTGCAAGTGATTGCATCCAAGTGATTGTATTTTTTTCCTAGGGCTATCGTAACAAAGTACCTAGTACAAATTCGGTGGCTTAAAATTACAGAAATTTATTGTCTCACAGTTCTGAGGCTAGAGGTCCAAAATTAACCTGTCAGTAGGTCCAGTGCTCCCTCTGAAACCTTATGGAGAATCCTTCCTTGCTTCTTTCTAGCTGGTGGTTTGCTGGCAATCTTTGGTGTTTCTTGGCTTGAAGCTGCAACATTTCAACCTCTGCCTCTGCCCTCACATGAGGTTCTCTCCTTGCGTGTCTGTCTTCAGGTAGTCTCCTCTTTTCTTATAAGGGCACCAATCATGATGGATTAAGGGCCACCTATTCCAGTATGACCTCATTTTAACTAATTAATCTGCAATGACCCTGTTTCCAAGTAAGGTCACATTCAGAGGTACTGGGGGTTAGGACTTCAACGTCTCTTTTGGAGGATACTGATATTTCTGATTTCAAAAGTTTCCTTCTCAACAGGAGGCTTATATTACTCATTTTCCATAGCACCTCGCTTTTATGGGAGCCTAGGCATATTTATTATATTCTGAAATCTTTGGTTTCTTTAGCCATAAAATGTGCCAGTTCTGTGGACCAGGATTGTTTTAAGAATTAAACTAGAAAACACAGGGATGTCTGGGAGGCTCAGTCAGTTAAGCGTCCTCCTTCAGCTCAGGTCATGATCCCAGGGTCCTGGGATAGAGCCAGCGGGGAGCCTGCTTCTCCCTCTGTTTGCCACTCCCCCTGCTTGTGCGCTCTCTCTCTCTGTTTCTCTCTCTCTCTGACAAATAAATAAAAATCTTTATAAAAAAAAATAAACTAGAAAACACATATATAAGGCATCTATAACAGTTCCTGGCATTTATCAGATCTTGCTTCTTTTCTGTTATTTTGTATTGTTTCACTTGGAAGATCCCTTTAGTTCTGTGTTTAATTTTGACCAATTTCAAAGCCATCCTTATGCTGGTAGTTGTATAGTCTTATGTGCATTTTAGTACATAATTGTAAGGTTATGGAAAGTTTCTTACTTATGATTTAGTGCTATGAAAAGTCAGTATGTAATTTCATAGTTTTCATTTATTTTTAACTCACCATTACCAAAACTTCACATTGTTTGGAGAAAGTTCCAGGTCTGAATTTGTAATATTTTTTAAAGCATATACTTTTGTTTTTCTTTTTATGGATGTTATCTTAAATAAAGGTTTATATGATTGCTTTATTTCTGTCAGTAAATCAAAGTGCAGCCATTGATGACTGGCTCTAGAGGGTAGCATTAATGAGCATTTATTATGAATGAGCACTTACTCTGTGCCTAGTTCTAGATAATTGTTGCAGGTTTTACTGTGAACCAGTGTCCATCTTCAGTCTTCTAGTTGATTGTGCTCTTTGCCTTTACATACTCCATCGTGCTGGGTCTCCTTTACACTAACATATGCAACTTTTACTTCACTGCTTTGTTTTTGGTTTTAATTTCTTGAGTAGTTTTTTCATAGATGTGTACATTTTATCACATTATCTAGATTGTAAAATTGTGGATGAGATAAGTGTGTTAATTTTATACCAATGAAGAATCTGCCCCTGTGGGTGTCTAGTAGGCATTCAACAAATGCTTAATGATGAGTGACATGCTTTAGTTTGACAAAGTGCATATTTTTATGCAAATTAATTATAGTTGTTGAAATCTTGCTAAGAGGTACTGTAGTATGTAGCTTTATGTTTTTAAAGTTACTGAAATTAAGTGCCATTTCTTCAGTAACTTATTTCTTTAAAAAATATTTGAATTACAGGTTTTCCACAGTGATGTGCATTTTTAAAGCTAATTAATGGCAGTTGATTTCACTGTGCATATTTGTGTATTTATGTTTCAAAGAAAATATAAGTACTTTTAAATTTTTGGGCAATTCCTTTGTCCTTTAATGGGCAGTAAGAATTTTTGAGATATTAATTAGGTTCATTATTCTCTTTGGTGCCTTATGGTTGAAAAATGTTAAGGGCTCCTACTTCTCCCCAAACCTCCTAGTTCCAAAATATTTTACATTTGTTATCACCTTAAATATTAGGATTATTGCTTGATAGAGCTAAAATACTTTAAAGTCAGATAGCTATGAGTATCTATAGAATTTTGTAGTTACCAATTTTGTCTTAAAACTTGTTTTTGTTTTAATTTTTTATGAATCAGGGCCTCTGATTCTTAATACTGTTATGTTGTAAACTCTGTCAGGGTCAGATACAAGTACAATAATTGATTCTATATATCTAATCTCCTATATAAAGACTTAAACAGTGTCTTTTTCTTCCTTAAAAAATTTTTTTTTCAATCTTCCTCATATCAGATTTGAACCTGAAGGGAGAGATGCATACAGAGAAACACCATATGTAATTGACTATAACAGGAATGACTTTTGGAATAGATAATAATTACTTATCTGAAAAGATTGTATGAATTTACTATTGTAGATTAATTTTACTAGTTTTGTTGTTGTTTGTGTTTTCTCATGTCGACAGGGTTGCTTTAGACACTCTTGCTGCATTGCTAAAATCAAGTAAGTTTTTAAATACTAGAAATACTAGATACTATTTTTCCAAGTATTCTATCTGCTGTTTTAAAGAAACTGGAAATGTAGATTTAGTCTGTAGTTATAAAGCAGTTTGTTATAATTTAATGTCAAAGTTGATTCTATCTTTTCATATGGTTGATCGATACACATCATAGCTAATGTCGTTTATTGAGCTATAATGTAGTACATCTATGTAATTCATTCCGGTACATTGACTTTCTTTTTATAAGTTCATTATATAAATATAAAGTCCTGTTAATAGAGGCAAGTAACATGTAAATATTATATAAGTATCATCTTTTTAAAAGTGAAGCTAACATGATATTGAGGATATTTACTGCGAAGAATATTGTGAACAACTACTGTATGTTGAACACAAATGATTTTCATTTAGAAACCTCTTATTAAAAATTTCATTTCTATCAAATTCAAGTTTAAATCATTAAAAATGACAGTTAATGTAAATTTACAAACTAAAGTAACTGTTTTATCTTCCAAATTGAAGCATTGGAGTAAATGTGTCTTATGATATGATTCCTTTGGAGAGAAATTTATCTACATTATATGTTCTCTCTCTCCAAGGTACTCAGTATCTGTGGTTTAAATACAACTTTTGTTAGCACTTCCATTCTCATTGGTTGATTAAATTAACATCTTAACTAACCACAGTAACATTTAGTCCTAAGGTTCTGAGGGCTTTCAATGTTATTTTTCCCCAAAACTGTCTATAAAGGGTGACACCAACTTGCCCTTAAATTTGAATGACCAGAATTGTTAACTTGAACAGTAGCAAATGATTAATTGATTGAAAATCTGGTGTTTGGTAAAGTAATGATTTATTACATTTATTAAATTTAAAAAGTCATCTTAGGTATTAGTATTATATACCAGAGTATATAAAATTCAGTTAACAGTTTTATCTTTGAAATGAAATGTGTGGTACTCAATTAGATGAACCATGTAGCTTTATTTTCATATATGATGTGATAAACTTTAGACCAAGATCAGAATACTTGGATTAATTTTAAAAGATGTTTGTGGCCTGGCTCTGTTGTGCCCTTTGTGGTTCAAATTGTTATTTAAAGATTAATTTTTAAATTCATATAGGCATATATTTTTGAATTAGAGTAGATTAAAATAGCTATTAAAACTGAAGCTTATTAATTTTCAGAATCACTGATGACAAAATCACTAAGTCAGTAGAAACTAAAACCCTCATAAGTTTCAACTATTTATAGAAATTGGTTAATCTAAGAGGACTGAAATCTGGTATCTTGCGTTTTAAATAGTAATCTTCTTTTTTACTCCCTCCTTCAAAGGAGGATGGTGGACAAACATACCTGTTTTACTCCATCAGGTAAAAAAAGTAACTGACCAGTAGGATGAGTCTAGTTTATATTTGGTATGTTTTCATAGGGCACATGGCTCTAAATAGAATAAAAATTTAATAATGCATGATAATGTTTAGTAGCACCTGCGTATTTTTAAATGCACTGTGGCATTTTGGAACATTCTCATTCATTGATTTTTTTTTTTTTAACTGCTTTCTGGGAGGGGGCAGTTATTTACTTTGAAAGGGTAAATGAGAGGAAAAAAATAAAAGGGTAAATAAGGCTACTGTAATAACCCTGAGCTAGTATAAAGCAAAGAACATGTATACACACAGTGCAGAAGGACAGGCAGCCTAGGTGCCATCGCTAGAGTATGGATGAGATGCTGCAGTCTAAAGGGGAACCTGAGTTATCTTTTAACTGGAGCGGGAAGAAGAGACATAGGTTGATAGTGAGTTAGGTGTCCTGAACACATGAATAAAAACCCCTTTACTAAACTTTCTGGTTGTGCTCAGTTGCAGATTGTACATAGCTCTGTTTACTTTTCTTCATTCAGCACCTGTGTTTGAGTTACGGGCAAGTTTCTTATTTGATCTTTAATAAAGAATTTAAATATTTCACATATATACCATTTAGGCTTATAATGTCTTTTAAGAAAATCATATTCACAGCTAGTAAACTAAAGGTTTATATACTCCAGGTGGTGTAAACAAAGTGTATATTCCTTTAAAATACATGAAACTACTGTTAGTCAAAACTGTTGACCTGATTGTGTAAATAGCCACAACCTTGGCCAACTAGCTCTTGAAGACACAGAAGAGGTTTTAAAGCGTTTATGTAAGAAAGCCCCTCTCCCCACCATGTGAATTTCTTCCAGCTCCCTAAAGTCAGAACAGGGTTTCTGAGAGAGCATTAGTAGTTTGTTGACCTCAACATCTTTATGTTTTAGGTACATATTAGCAATTTGGAAGCTGTAGTAACTCTTTCAGGTAACTAAAAGCAACAGAGCCTTACCTTACTATTACATTATCGTAGTGCCTATGCCATGAGCCAGGGTAAACTTAGGTTATGGAGAGATTGGAATTTCTTTGTGACTAAACAAGCTTGGATGGGTTGGTATTCGACATTAGTTTGTGTTCCTATCATTGGTGCCCCTATGTGGTACGGAGTGGCCCCGGAATGTTGCTATGATAGGGTTCCCCGACTGCCATTTTAGTGAAATGTACCCTTTTGGTTAATAATCTAAAATATTAACACTTTAATAAAATAGATCAAATTTGTGGATTTCTGTTAATTCTACCCCAGTAAAATCAACCATTTACAAAAAAACCTCTTTAATGTAGTTTTTATTACATTAGATAATTAATGACCAGAAAGCAGTAAAGTGCTCTTCACATTTCATTTACTAAAAGTTTTGTAAGTATTTTTAACTTAGTGTTGTTATGGCATGGATATTTATATAATTGTGGGGGTAATTAAAGCAGGTGATTTCAGTGGAAACACATACAGTTTGTAATAGAAGCTACAATCCAGTAGAGTTAATTTCAGTGGAAACAAGGCTTATAATAGACGTTACAATAATGACAATGTAGTTTGCCATCTGGGACTTTTCATTTATTTTGTTAGAGAAAAAAATATTTAAGTATGTGGCTGCTATGTATATGTTTTTGAAAAAAAACTCATTGCAATATTGTGGTGATATTTTTAATTTAATTTATTCTACCATTTTTCTCTTGTCATTTAAAAAATGTTCTTTCTCAATTTTCTTTTGTTAAAGAAACAAACGCCAGAAGAGCTGTAGACAGAGGATATGTCCAAGTCCTTTTAACAATTTATGTAGATTGGCACCGCCATGATAACCGGCATAGAAACATGCTCATTCGGAAAGGAATTTTACAGAGTTTAAAAAGTGTTACAAACATCAAGTTGGGAAGAAAAGCATTTATAGATGCCAATGGGATGAAAATTCTGTATAACACTTCACAGGTGAGTTTTTAAATTTTCTTCCTATTACTGTGGTTATGTGTTAATGATATTATTTGGTTCTTAAGAAAATTTAGTACTCTTTTTTTTTTTTTAAAGATTTTACTTATTTATTTGACAGAGAGATAGCGAGAGCAGGAACACAAGCAGAGGGAGCGCGGGAGAGGGAGAAGCAGGCTCCCCACTGAGCAGGGAGCCCGATGTGGGGCTTGATCCCAGGACTCTGGGATCATGACCTGAGCCGAAGGCAGACGCTTAACGACTGAGCCACCCAGGCGCCCCCAAAATTTAGTATTCTTACAAATACTGAAAAAAGTGTGATAAATATGTTTAAGAAAAAATCTGAAAATGAAAAGGCATGATAAACCTTTCTCACGCGAGCTCCTCAGACTGAGTTGGAGAAAGTGCTGAGTGCATATCTCTGCAATATGAGATTTTAGGTAAAAGGAGGATGTATAAATCCATCCACTGGGCAGGAAGGGAATCTGTAGAGCCATGTTTGCTAAGATAGGCAGTTGGCTGTACTCAGTTTTGCATGTTCCCCTCATAAGATATTTATGGATCTTTATAGCTGGTAAGGCAATTCTGTTGTTTGTGAGTATTGTCAATGTCTTCCTTCTGGATAGAGCATTTTTACACAGAGAAGGTACAAAAGTGAAACCTGGAGTTAGGAATCCTAGTTCTGCCAGCCATCTTAACCGTAAACCTTCTTGACAATATCTTTAGCGAGAAGACTGTCAGCTCTGGGCAGTGGGGATGTTACAATGCAACCATTTTGTTTATAGAAGGTTATAGTTATTAGAAAGAAATCTGTCTTTTAAAAATTGCAGCCAGTCATCCTGGTTGTGCCCTCCTGGTCTTGCACACAACTGTCTCTTTCTGCATGGCAGTAGTTAAGATACCTGAACACACAATTTATGTTTACCCTAAGCTTTTTCTTTTCTAGATCAATCATATGCACTTGTTTTTACTATTCCTCATGTAGACAGTGATGGATAATTGATCTATCAGGAAGAGTTGGGTGACCTTGTTTATGCCACTTAATATTTCTGAGCCTAAATTTCTCATCTGTTCTGACAGGTCAGATGTGAAAATTTATATTGAAAATTTTATGGGATATGAAAGTGCTATCTAAATGCCAGTAGTGTTTTATGTTATAGGTTCAAATCCCCTGTCCATTAGCCTTTGTCAAGATTGGATACCAGGACAGCGTATTAAACTCTTAAAACTTAAAATCATGGTATTCAGACTATTTTCTGTAAGTTGAAGAATCAACTTATTAGAGGTGCTATTGTATGATAACTGATAACAGTTTTGAGAAAGGCTCAGCCAGTGCACATTCCTTTTTATTTCTTACTCCTTTCTTACTATCTTTTTTACTTAATGTTTCTTTGCTTCTTCCCTTAAATTAAAAATAATTTTTATTTTATGCCCTAGGCTTGCTAAATGCCTTGTAGGTCATTCATAGATATTACTTAGCACAGTAGTCCCCCCTTATCTGTGGGGGATATGGTCCAAGATCCCTTGGATCTTAGATGCCTGAAACCTTGGATAGTACTTCACCTTATATATACAATGTGTGTTTTCTTATACATACATATCTGTGATAAAGTTTGAATTAGGCCCAGTAAGAGATTAGCAACTAATAATAAAACAGAACAACTGTAACAATATACTGTAGTAAAAGTTAAGTGAATGTGGTCCCTCTCTCTCAAAATATCTTATTGTACTGTACTCATCCTTATGTTGAGGATGTGAGATGATAAAATGCCTCTGTGATGAGATGAAGTGAGGGGACTGATGTAAGTATGCTGTGTTATAGCATTAGGGTTAGTATTGACCTTAGGTCAGAAGGAAGATCATCTGTGCTGGACCACAATTGACCATGGGTAACTGAAACCAGGGATGAAGTGGGACTAATATACTTTGGTGACTTTTGGTGCCAAAGATGGTACTGATTTCTGCTTAGTTAAAATATTTTAGGAAAAGTATTACTAAATTTGCCACATGAAGTTCTTACTTATGAAGAGATACTTCTGAATAGGCAAAGCTATTTTATAATCATATTACATTAAAATATTGGTTTTTGTATATTTGTCTCTTGAAAATTATTGATGTATTTTACTTTATGAAGTAATGTAAAATTGATTCACTTATTCACCAAAGGCATATTATCTTTTTTCTTTCTTTTCTTTTTTTATTTTTCTTAAAAAACAGGAATGTTTGGCAGTCAGGACCCTTGATCCTCTTGTCAACACCTCCAGTCTGATAATGAGGAAGTGTTTTCCTAAAAATCGCCTGCCACTCCCAACGATTAAAAGTTCTTTCCATTTCCAGTTGCCAGTTATTCCTGTGACTGGGCCTGTGGCCCAGCTCTACAGTTTACCCCCTGAAGGTAAGACTGCATGTTTACTGCTGGCTTTCAGTGGTTCTTGGAATTGTGTGACTGTCGACTTTTTTTTTTTCCTCATTTCTAGTTCCTCAGCAAAAGAGACCTTAATGAACACAATAAACTTTCACATTATATTTTAAGTTAAATATTTCTTCAAATATAAGAAATTGAGTTCTGATAATTAAAGGCAGTAGTATGGAATGTGTTATATATATGTAAATGTGAATTTAAAAAAATTTAAGCATTACATAGGAACATTATTTCATAGTTTACATAAATTTTCAAAGGATAAGAGTGTAAACATTAAATGTTTAGGTAGTTATATTTGGGCTTACATTTATAACTTTTTGGTGAACTTCATTTTTTTTTAAGTTAATACCTAATCACCAAAAATGTTATTTTTTTATTTTTATTTTTTTTTAAGATTTATTTATTTATTGGAGGTGCAGAGCCTGGAGATTGACACAGGGCTCAATCTTAGGACCTTGAGATCACGACCTGAGCCAAAACCAGGAGTCAGTGGCTTAACTGACTGTGCCACCCAGGTGCCCCTGCATTTTTTATTATAAAATAATTCATCTCTCTTCATAGAGTTTCTGCATATTCCCATGAAATTTCTATGGCAAGAATTCAAGAATTTAACAGATGACTCACTGATAAAAAATTGAAAAGAGAAGGTAAAATGTACTTTAAGAAGCATAAAAAAATACTAGTCCAAATTAACAGAGTAATTTCTTTCTACTGAGATCAGGTTCAACTATTTAAATAATACTTAAAAATTTTACAATTTCTACTACCAGGATTAGTTTCCTTATGTAAATTCATAGTTCTCCTAAGAAAAAGGTTCAGTGTTAGTGTATATGGTTCACAGAAGTGTTTTCTAATGATTTGGAATTTGCATATAAATATGTGTAGTATTATAATGCTTGGGAAAAGGGAAGGTGAAAATAGAAAAACGCCTACCAATATTCTTCTTTTTTTAAAAATTTTTTAATTTATTATTTTTTATTATGTTCAATATAGCATATGAACATATGCATAGCATATAGCGTCATTAGTTTTTGGTGTAGTGGTCAGCGATTCATTAGTTGCGTATAACACCCAGTGCTCATCACCACATGTGCCGTCCTTAATACCCATCGCCTGGTTATCCCATCCCCTCACCCCCCTCCCTTCTGTAACCCTCAGTTTGGTTCCTAGAGTCCAGAGTCGCTCATGGTTTGTCTCCCCCTCTGATTTCTTCCCATTTAGTTTCCTTCCCTTCCCCTGTGGTCCTCCGTGCTATTCCTTATGTTCCACATATGAGTGAAACCATATGATAATTGACTTTCTCTGCTTGACTTATTTCACCTAGCATAATCCCCTCCAGTTCCATCCATGTCATTGCAAATGGTGGGTATTCATTCTTTCTGATGGCTAATATTCCATTGTATATATGAACCACATCTTCTTTATCCATTCATCTGTGGAAGGGCATCTTGTCTCCTTCCACAGTTTGGCTGTTGTGGACATTGCTGCTATGAACATTGGGGTGCAAGTGCCCCTTCTTTTCACTACATCTGTATCTTTGGGGTAAATAGTGTAGTTGCTGGGTTGTAGGCTAGCTCTATTTTTAATGTCTTGAGGAACCTCCATACTGTTTTCCAGAGTGGCTGTACCAGCTTGCATTCCCACCAACAGTGTAAGAGGGTTCAGACACTTCTCCAAAGAAGACATACAAATGGCTAACAGACACATGAAAAAATGTTTGACATCACTAGCCATTAGAGAAATACAAATCAAAACCACAGTGAGATACCACCTTACACCAGTTAGAATGGCAAAAATTAACAAGACAGGAAACAAAAATGTTATGGTTTATGCTTAACAAAACTTGCATGTGACTTACCTAAATGAAAATAATGAAATTATTAGAAGTTGGCTGTTTGCCATTTCAATACAATACTGGGAACATAGTAAAAGAAGTAAGAGTTGAAATCTTAATGTGGGGAAAAAGTAGAATTTTGGGGGGTAAGATCTAGTAAAATGGAAAAGAGAGTGTAGTCTAGACTATTATTAGAATTTCTAAAGTATTTTCTCATCAGTTGATAAATTTTTTGCAATTTCAATTACTTGAAATAAGTGATGTAAGAGAATTTTCAGGTAATTATAATTAGTTTTATTATCTTTGATGCAGATTTATTAGTGGTATGTATCACAGAGTACACTGTATGATTTTTTTTAAAAGTATTTTATTATTAAAGTGCACCTTTAGTCTATGCAAAATACCAAGATGAATTATTCAGAAACTTCCTTTAAAGGGTTTAAAAAGTCTACAACTCACTATGGGACTTGAGTAAGATAGTGGAGTGAAAATAGTGATCTAATTTCTTTCCCATTGCATTTAAAACTACCAACAGACTTTAAAAATAGGGCAAAATCTGTACCAAAAGTGAAAACAAGGTAAACAGAAGCATTCTCATGAAATAAACATAGAAATGCACCAAACATCGTGGAGGTGTGAATATATTAAAGAAGAGCATCAGTTCTCTACTCACCCCTCCGTGAGTGCAGTGTGCCTGTCTCCGAGTTGAGGCGCCGGTAGCACCTAAGTTGGACGGACAATCAAGGAGCAGTTGGAGTCCTTTTCTCTCCTGTATCTCAGTGTAGGATTATGGGAGTTTAAGTGGTGGTTGTAACTGGTAGAAAGCTGGGGAGACTTCTGTATGATACAGCAGGTGATAATACTGGGAGGAGATAGGATATAGGATTTACCCCATAGTGTTCTTTATTCAGTGTACAGAATAATCACATATGAGGTGAGAAAGCTAACTTCTAGTGCAGTGAATTCACCAAACATGGGGAAAAAATGACAGAGAGATGATATTTTTCTGAGGGCTCCTTTCCTGTCTCATCTCAGACTAATGGATCACTAAATTAGAAAGGGGGATTTACACTGACGGACAAGTCTTCATGATTAAGATGTGAGAGGAGAGTTTTGACAGCATCTGTGCAGACACAAGGCACATACCCTCTTTCTGTTCACCATTTTTCATATATCAGACTTCATTACATTGATCACAATTTTCATTATTTTTTACCTTCCTCAGTTAGAATATAAGTTCCATGAGGATAGAACTGTTTTTTTCCTTCATTTTATCCTCAGCATCTATTAGACAGAGTTAGTGTACACTTAACATTTGTTGATGAAGGAATTGAGCTGACCTCAAGGCTTAGTCTGTAGAACATTAAATGCCAAAAGATGTGAAGCAGCATCTTACAGAGGTTTTGAGGAGAGTCCTGATTCAAGATTTCTGAACATTTATTAGTTGCCATTCATATGTGAAGGTGACATATTCTTAGGTATATAAGGGTTTGGAAGTGATTACCCAGGTACCCTTTCTGAAGTAATTACACGAAATACTACTCTAGTCTGGCCAATGATGAATTAAGATGACAAGAATAGAGACAACATGGTAGCAGAATCATTGTATTAAACAGTACAAATTGTTAATTATGTAATACTAAATAATTGTAATACTGTTTTGAAATACATCAACCAACTCTTGGCCAAGGATACATAATACACAGTTATAACAAACTGGGTTTTTTACACAAACTAAAATTTTTATTATTTATATTATATATGTTTGTATTGATAGAGTTCCTATTCTTAGGAATATTACACTATTCTTGCATTTCTAAAATAATTATAGGAATAGTGGTTCATATATGCATTTTAAAATGTAAAAGTACTTTTGAAACAGAGATCCTTAGCCTGGGAACTATTGACTCATAGGAATCCATGGATGGACTTCAAAGACTATGAACACTCTGAAATTCTGTATAAATTATGTATTTTTTTTCTTGGGAAAAATTCTTGAAGAGGCTCATTTATTACTGTTATAGAAAAGCAGGGAAATTTCAGAGACACACAAAAATCCTGAGAGCACTAGATACAAAGCAAGAACCAAAAATCATCTTTGGTAATAAGATATCTAAATGGATAAAATACTCTGACTAAAAGGAGAAGAATTGACTAGGAGGCAAGATGGCAGAAGAGTAAGGGACCTCATTTCATCTGGTCTCTTGAATTTAGCTAGATAACTGTCAAATCATTCTGAACACCTATGAATTCAACCTGAGGTGTAAGAAAAGAATTGCTGGAATTCTACAAATAGAAAAGCAACCACTTTTTTTACAAGGTAGAAGGTTCAGAGAAGTGAATCTGAGGGTATATATTGGAAGATAAATGGCAGGGGGGTGGGGAGCCTCTGAAAGCTGGCTTCCAGAAAGTGTTATAGCACCAGAGTGCAAAATGGAAATTTTTAGAAGTCTGCTCCAGTGAGAGACATCCCTTCCTGACAGGTGCTCAGGTGGCGAAGCAGGGCAGAATCCTAGGTGGGACAGTGTGGTCTCAGGATCCGGTCACAGAAAGAACGGGGGTGCCTGAGCCGGCAGAGTTCCCAATCATTGGAGTGGAGAAACAGGCTACAGTCGGAGAGGGATCCCTGCCTAGGACTCTCCTATGTTCTCTCTCTCAAGGAGAGCAAGAAGACCCTAGCAGCTTTTGCCTCTTAGGATCCCTCTAGCCCTAGGTACCACTGCCACTTGAAGACCTCCATAGTATTGGCCACAGAGGAACCTCCCACACTCAGTGTTGACATTGACCTCTGCTGACAGAGCTGCATGGGGATTATGCTGCTGTGCCTTCCCAGGAAGCAAAGATACTACATCTTCCCCCAGTCTGTGTGTTCACAGCTGTTTTCTGGCGAAAGTCTTTCCCCACCCAAGCCAATCAGTCCTAAAAGACTGGAAGAAGCAACTGCATCCTTAAATGGGGTAGTAAAGTATCCTCCAGACTGAGAGGGCACTTTGAGACCAAAAAACTATGCAAGCCAAGCCCTTCCATACCGTTTATAGAGTTTTTTTCAGGGTAACTTACTGACAAGGTCAGGCAATCCAGGTGCTGCTACACAGCTGTTCTCGCCCAGGCCAGACCTTAATCCACAGCTTTTATAGAGCAGGGGGCATTTGTGGTGTGGTCAAAGGGTAGTTATTTAAAGTGGTGCCATCTGTGCACCACTTTAGGGAAGATCAGAACAAGCCTTCCTGCTTTATGGTCAGGGCATAACGGCCCTGACGGAGATCATTGCGTGGACACGGACAAGATGGAGCGCCGAAGATGCAGTCAGTGTGATTAGCACTCCTACGCAGACCAGTATCCCTGGTGAACATAGATGCAGAAATCCATAGCAAAGTAACAGCAAACTGATCTTAACAACAAATTAAAAGGATAATATACCATGATCAAGTGGAACTCATCTCTGGGATGCAAGGACGTTTCAACATCCATAAGCTAAAATGTGATAAAGCACATTAACAATGAAGGATGAAGATCATATGATCATCTTGACAGATGCAGAAAAGAAATTTGACAAAGTTCAAAATCCTTTTATGATAAAAACTCTTAACAAATTGGGTATAGAAGGAATGTTCCTCATCATAATAAAGACCATATATGATAAATCCGTAGCTAATATTGTGCTTAGTGATAAAAAGTTAAAAGCTTTTCCTATAAGATCGGGAAGAAGACAAAGATACTGTCTCTCACCATTTCTATTCAACACAGTACTGGATATCCTAGCTAATAATAATTAGGCTAGAAAAAGAAAGAAAAGGCATCCAGATCATATAGGAAGAAGTAAACTTATCTGTTTGCAGATGGCATGATCTTATATATACAAAACCGTAAAATCTCTACCAAAAAACTCTTGGAACTAATAGACAAGTTCAGTAAAGTTGCAGGATATACAATCAAATATATAAAAATCAATTGTGTTTCTATACAATTACAGTAAACTATCTGAAAGAGAAATTAAGATAGTAATCCTATGTACAGTAACATTGAAAGTAATCCTATATACATTGAAAGCAAAATAGGAATAAATTTACTAAGGAGCTGGAAGACCTGTACAAGACATCGATGAAAGAGATTGAAGAAGACACAAATAAATGGAAAGATATCCTCTGTTCTTGGATTGGAAGAATTAATATTGTGAAAATGCCCATATTACCCAAAGTGGTCTACAGATTTAAAGCAATCTCTTTGAAAATTGCAATAGCATTTTTCACAGAAATAGAAAAAACTATCCTCAAATATTATGGAACTACTAAAGACCCCCAGGAGCCAGAGCAATCCTGGGAAAGAAGAACAAAGCTAGACATCACAGTTCTGGATTTCAAACTATTACAAAGCCATAGTAATCAAAACAGTATGGTACTCAGAGCAGGCACATAGACCTCTAGTGGGATGGAATAGGTAGCCCAGACAAACCCATGCATATGTGGTCAGCTAATTTTTGATTAAAGGCACTAAGAATACACAGTGGGGAAAGGACGTTGTTTTCAATAAATTGTATTGGGAAAGCTAGATATCCACATACAAAAGAATGAAATTGGATCCTTGTCTTATACCACTCACAAAAAATTATCTTGAAATGGATCAAAACTTAATTATAAGACCTGAAACTGTAAAACTCCTAGAAGAAAACTTGGGGGAAATGATCTTTGACATTGGTCTTGGCAGTAATTTCTTGGATAAGATATCAAAAGCACAAGCAGTGGAAGCTAAAATAAACAAATGGGATTATGACAAACTAAAGAGATTCTGTACAGCCCAGGAAACAATAAATTATAATGGCAATTTCAATTTATTGCCTTACAGGATGGGAGAAGGTATTTGCAAAACGTGTATCTGGGAATGGGCTACTGTCAAAAATATATATAAAAAAACCTCACACAGCTGAAGAATATAAAAGCAAGTAATTCAATTAAAAACTGGGCAAAGGACCTGAATAAATATTTTCCCAAAGAAGACATACAAATAGCCAGTAGTATATGAAAAAGTGCTCAACATCAGTAATCATCAGGGAAATGGAAATCAAAACCATAGTAAGGTATCACCTCACACCTGTTAGAATGGCTGTTACCAAAAAGACAAGACATAGGAGCTATTTGCAAGGTTGTGAAGAAAATGGAACCCTTTAACACTGTTGGTGGGGATGTAAAATGGTATAGCTAATCTGGATAACAGTATGGAGGTTCCTCAAAAAATTAAAAATAGAACTACCGTATGATCTAGCAATCCTGCTTCTTAGTATATATCCAAAGGAATTGAAATCATTATCTTAAAGAGAGATCTGTACACCCATGTTCCCTGTAGCATTATGTACAGTAGACAAATTTGTAAATAACTGTAACGTCCTTTGATAAATGGATAAAGGACAGTGATATATATGAATATTATTAAGATAATATAAAGGAAGGAAATCCTGCCATTTGCAGCAACATGGATGAACCTGGAGGGCAGTGAAATATGCCAGACAGAAAGGCAAATACTGTGTGGTATCACTTACATGTAGAATTTTAAAAGCCAACAAACAAAAAAAATGATTTTGTAGAAACAGAATAGAATGTTGGATGCCAGGAATGAGGGGAGTGGTAAATGGGGTGCTGGGATCAAAGGGTACAGATTCTCAGTTTAAGAAGATTAAGTACTGAGGATCTAATGTACAGTATGGTGACTATAGTTAATAATACGGTATTGCATATTTGGACATTTCCAAGAGGAGCTCTTAAACATTCATCACAGTTAACATTGTTAATTATGTGAGGTGATGGTTGTGTTAATTATCTTCATCTTGGTAATCATTTTACCATGTATATTTATATCAGATCATCACATTTGTACACTTTATATTACAATTAATATTTATTATTTCTTCTTCAATAGAGTTAAATAGTTTAGAAAAATATCCTTTTAAAATATTCCCTACTTTGTTTTAAAGCACTCAGTTACTTACCTGAGTACTCTTCCACTCTTCTTGCCTTATCTTGTCTCCCCCACAGCCGTGGTCCTCATGTACCTTTACATTCTGCGTATTCATTCTTCATCCCCATTCCTGCTGTATTGGTTCAGACAGTTACTGTCTCCTGTTAACTGGTCCCCTTCCATATATGTGCTCCCTCTCTCACACCTGCCAGAGTGATCTTTTGAGCAATGTTAAGTCAAATTAAGCCATTCTCTTCTTGAAAATTCTCAGTGCTTGTCTTGCATAGGTTAAAAATCTAAACTACTTGGTCCCTTCATTTTCTCATTCTTATTTGCCTTTCTTAGTACTTTCCCAAGTATACAAGTTTAGTTATACTTGCCGTTTTTCAGGGATATCATCTCAACTCTTTTTTTCTTAGAAGCCACACTCACCCACCCTGATGTTGGCCTTGAAAGCTGCTGTATTTTCTTCAGGATACTGCTTAATTACTACCTGTTCTGTGGAGTGATTACTCATATCCCCTTGACCTCAAGTTAGTTAGTTAGTTAGTTAGTTATTCTATCCTTTGTTTTCACAAACAAACGTTGCTTTCATTAATGTTTACTTTTGTATTGTAGTTACCTGTTTAGTCTTTTCTGCTCTTTAACCTTATATGCTCCTGGAGGACAGGGACTGTATTTACATATATTTTTAAAAATTCCCAGCACACAACACTACATACATGGCACATGGTAGCCATTGAAACAAATAAATGGGAAATCAGTTGTTAAAGGAATAAAATCAGTTTTTGAAATTTATCATGTACAGGAAATAAGCTGTTTCATTCAGGCTGTTGCAACAGAAGACATTCATTTTTAAAAATCGAGAACATCAGTAAAAACACCCATACATTTCTACAGTGCTTTTTCAAATTTTAGTATCTCATAGGTTTTCAACACCTAGGACAGCCTTAGAGACATTTTTAATAAGGAATTTCATTTACTTTTCCTTTGGTGATTAAAATACCAATGTTGTGTGTATATAGCATCCTTCCTTCGTATGTGCATGTTGTAGAATGCTTACCTCTGACCTACTTATAGCATGTTTTGTGTCACAGTGGATGACGTAGTAGATGAAAGTGATGACAATGATGATATTGACTTAGAAGCCGAAAATGAAACTGAAAATGAAGATGACGTAGATCAGAATTTTAAGGTTAGTATAAATCTCTATCTTCGGTCAACTTTATGTGAATTATATACGCAGTTGTAAAATAAAGATTGGGGAAATAGGTGTAGCTTAATGGTAGATTAATTGGTTTTGTCCGCATCTTTTTATTGTGATAACTGTGGACACTAAGGAAAGGGAAAATGAAAAATGATGTTGCTTTGAATGCATTGGTCTGAAAAGGTCCTTAAAATAACTTATTTTCGCTCTTTTTGACCAGGATAAGCTCAGGTAACTGATCTGACTTAGGTTTCAAAGTCTAAGGAAATCTGAGTTTGAAGGAAAGTGGTTTGAGACTCTAAGTAGCAACCTGTTCCTCTTTGAGCAGTCTTTTGGGGATATAAAAATAGTAGGAAAATAATCTGTAACTGCTGGATTTTTGGTAAGAATTAGTGTTTACATAATGATTCTTAGGTTTCAGTTAATTGGAGAAGAAATGGACAAAAGCGTTTATTGAATTGAAACAAGATAAAAAAATTATTGTTATATGTGTGATGTTAAGTAAAGAGGCAGGGGAGTTTTTAGAATTTTATGGCACTTTTGGAAGTGTAGAGACGATATTTGCTTTATTTAGTGTCAGGGGGTCATTTTAATATCTATGGAAAAATGCCTGCTTAACTCCTTCAGTTTTCAGCTGTTTAGCTTAGTCTTTTTTGGTGGGTGGGGAGGGATTCATTTGACCCTTGCCTGCTTGGCCCTTTTCTCTTGAAGTGCTACATCACAATTGGGTATTTGACCCTCTCTGGAGATAGAATGTTAAGATACTGGAAAGAGATACCCATTTTAATAGTAGATGTAGTTCCAGTTTCATTATCACCGAATGCAATCACCAAGGCAAGCTTTGGCAGAATTGTCAAGTTAGCCAATCTGGGCAGCATAATGGTCTGCATCCTTGCCTCAAGAAGCTAGAAAGAAGAGAAACAGTGCAGGCTCTGATTTTCAAGGCAAAATATCTGGGTTAACTGTGTGATTGTGGTTCTGGACTTGATATAAGTGGAAGAACTGTGGGATCCAAGTTATGAGAATTTAAATTCTGTTGTGTAAAGTGTTCTTTAGATAATAGAAGCTATATTAAAAATCACCTGTTTAGATTCTTTGGGAACTGAATGTTTGGGGATAGTAAAATTTCAGATTGCTGTTAAGTTTATACTTCAACGTATTTTGATAGAAACCTTTCTCTTTTGTGCTGTATGTTTCCATGTTGTTAAAAACATAGTATGTTGAGTATAATTTATTCTTTATGGCTCAGGGTCCTCATTAAGCATATCTGTTGTTGTGATCACTACAGATGTAAAGACAGATTGGTGGGGAAATAGAACTAATAGGAATTATAACAATGATTCTGATTTTGCTGCTTGGAAATTGTCAGTGTGTATGCATGAATACATACTTAAAAATTTTTTAAAAACCATATGAGGGTAAGTTACATATATTATGTATCATGGTCCTTTACCCCTAAATATGTCAGAGAATATTTCCTAAGAATAGTGGTACTCTCTTACATAACCACAATGCAGTTATCAACTTGATAAATTTATAGTGATATAACACTTTTTATCTGATCTGCCATCCATATTCCACTTTGTCAGTTGATCTAATAAATGTCCTTTGTGAGGTTTTTTTTTCCTTCTCTCTAGAATAGGAGCTAGCATCAGATATTGTGTTTAATTATTTTGTCCCTTAAGTCTCCCTTAATTTAGAATATTTCCATATTTATATCTTTGAAAAATACAGTTGTTGGCTGTATTATTCACTGGAGTAGCTGCGATTGCTTACATTTTCTCCTGCTTTATCTTAATACACAGTTATAATAATGAGAAAAAAAAAATAGATTCAATTTATTCAACATCTAATCCTATTCTAGTCCATGCTCTTTTTTTAATTAATTAATTTTTTTTTTTTAATTTATCTATTTGAGAGAGAGAGAGAGAGCACAAGCAGAGGGAACAGCAGAAGGAGAGAGAGAAGCAGACTCCTTGCTCAGCCAGGAGCCCAACTCAGGGCTCGATCCCAGGACCCCAAGATCATGACGCAAGCCGAAGGCAGACGCCTAACCAACTGAGCCAAAAAAAAGAGCATGCTTTTTTTTTTTTTTAAATTGAAGTACAGTTGACATACTAATAAAATACTGACATACATACTAATAAAATACTGACATATTTTATTAGTTTCAGGTATACAGCAGTGATTTGACATTATGAAATATTCACCACGATAAGTCTAGTTAGGCCTTTTGCATTTACCATCTATGCTAGTCCCTGCTCTTTACCTATAGTAATTATTAAATCCTCATCTCAATTCTATAAGGTACATGATATTATTACCTCTGCTTTACAGGGCTAATAATTAGAAGAAGGAGGCACAGAATGTAGCTTATAAGATGTGGGGCCAGGATTCAGAATAAAGCAGTCTGATGTGAATGTCCACTCTCTCTACCACCATACTATACCAAAATGTTACTTTTTTTTTTTTAGGATTTTATTTCTTTATTTGACAGAGAAAGAAAGGAAGGGGAGAAAGTAGCAGAGGGAGAGGGAGAAGCAGACTTCCCGCTGAGCAGGGAGCCTGATGTGGGTCTTGATCCTGGATTCCAGGATCATGACCTGAGCCGAAGGCAGAAGCTTAACCAACTGAGCCACCCAGGTGCCCCAGCCAAAATGTTATTTATTTATTTATTTTTTAAGGACTACAGAATTGCTGGCTTTTTGAGACTGCTGAGCTGTATTATCTTATTTTTCTTCTTGACCACAGTTTGCCTTACTGTCATTGGCGGTTACATTTGGACTTAATTTTTCCTTTTTATCTAAATCTTGTTATTTATTTCCTGTGTCAGGTGAACCTGCTACATACAGGTTTAATATTTGTTTGTGTTTGATTGTGATTGTAGTTTTAGAGACTGTTTTTCCCTCACCATAGTGATTCTATTCTCTTTACCCCAGATTTTTCAGTTTTTGGAGCATTTATAGAAACTTGGAGGTTTAAAACACTCATCTCCAGTAGCCAGGACCTGTCAGAATATAAACTTCAATGCGTTCTTTTCCCCTCCTTTACTTGAGAAGAACTTTAAGCAGTGGTGGGGGGTGGTTGTGTTGTTTTTGTTTTTGTTTTCTAAGTCTGTCAGTAGCTCTTCATCTTTGTTTTCCCCTAAACCAAAACAGAATTTCCTGCTGTTGACCTCTCAAAGTGTAGTTTTTTTTCTCACGGTGCCTATTTTACAGATAAATTCATTTTTTTTTGAAAGTAGAGAGCAAATATGTAAGGCTCTATTTTCACAAAGTAGTATTGAATGTTGAATTCTGGTCTGTTTAGAGAAAGAATACTTTTGTAAACTTTTTGTTATTTTGAAAGCATTGTCTACTTTATTAGTGCCAAACAAGGAAATTATATATTTTGGTTCATCAATGCATAATTTAAAGGTCTATGAAATTACGCATTTGTGTCCTAATAATTATACAATAATTATACACTAACATGATACTCTTTAAATACAACCAGTGTTTATTATTTATGGCAAGGGAGAAAATCTTTTTATTGGTTATACAAATAATAGCTAAGTTCCTGAATATGAACTATGAGAAATATAAAATGTATTTTTCCTTTTAAATTACTTGGTAATATGGAGTGTATATATTTAGTCAGATACATGTATATAAAGCATTATAAGGATTGAAGCATGGTAGAATAGATTTAAGGCTAAAAGTAAGTTTACTCACTGAAATTAAAAGCCATTGAAAATTAGTAAGTGGTCTTTATATCTCTCTTTAGCAATGAAGATAATGATGAGTTTGTATTTGTGTGAGGCCAGATTTGTTGAAGGTCATAGAGAGAATAGCTTGGATGGTAGGTAAACTGACACTTGTCTTTCTGGCACAGTGTATATTAGGTCTTTGAACAGATACAGATTGAATTAATCCCAGATACATACCCTGTTTTTCTGAGGTCATACCTCCCCTTTAAATTTACCGTCTTCCTTCCTAAAGGGGCGTGGAAATAATTTCTGGCTGTTTTTCAATTTTTTTACTTTTTTTCCCCCCAGAAAAAGAGTGTGTGGTGACACTGAGCTTTTCTAAGGGAACTTTGTTGACCATGGAGTACGAGAGTACAGGGTAATCATTGGTTTGTCTTGAGACAGTGCATTGACCAACAGAGTATGCTCTGAAATCAATGATTAGTTTTACATCCTGACTCTTTGCACACTATGTAATTTTGAGCAAGCCCCTTAACCTCTCTCTACCTCGGTTTCCTCTTCAGTTAAATGGAAGTAATGATGCTATCTACTTCATAGTGTTCTTCTGCAGATTAAATTATGTAAGATCCTTAGCATAGTGCTTCTCACATTTTCAGTGCTTAGTATATGTTAGTTATTTTGATTATCACCACCACCATCATATATTTATATTTTTCAATTTAGTTTTTTTAAGTTTTACTACCCTTTAATATGAGTAAAACTATGGCAACTAAAGAGATTGAGGGGAGCATCCTTGAGTCTGGATCTTGACACTAGGTCTTCTATCTTGAGGAGCCCAAATACTATTTTCAACACAACAATGACCCAATACCAGCAAATTTCATTTATGGTAAAATTAGTACAACCTTTAGTCAGTGATTATTCTCTACATGTAATTAATAATTTGGAAAACTTTAATCTGAAATGTAGTCTGTAATTTTACCTTTTTCTTAACTGGTTACATTTTTATTATTTCAGAATGATGATATTGAAACGGATATTAACAAACTAAAACCCCAGCAGGAACCTGGACGAACGATAGAAGAACTTAAAATGTATGAACACCTTTTCCCTGAGCTTGTTGATGATTTTCAGGTATAAATATAGAAAGTACAGCATCTTAATTGATTTTAAGAAACAGTTCTTCTTTTTTGTTTTTTCTTCCTTAGGCCTGTAATCCCTGTTTCCCCTTTGCTTTTTATTTCTAAAATATGAAAGTGGTATTGCCTTTCTGGGTGACATTGGACAGTTACTTTAGCGTTCTGAGCTACAAACTACTTATCTGTAAAATGAGGGGACTAGCTCATTAAATTTTTGGACTAGCTTTTACATTTTTTCATCACTTTGGCTCATTGCTTTAATTGGCATAGTTTTTAAAAAATAATCTTTAAAATGGCATTTTAAAATCTTATGTTGAAGTCTTCTTTCTATCAGTTGCATCCAACTGAAGGGGGAGGTGGGAGCTGAGAAATTGCTAAATTAAAACTGAAGTCTCTGCTTGTTGGATTGTTTTTCCTGACAGTCACCATATAACTGGGGAATGTAGGGCCAGGGGAGAACAATGTGAAGTCTTTATATCTGAGTCGGTTCACAGGGAGAGTGACTTCTCATTAACATTTCTTACCCTCATTTATTTACTGGAATGTACTTACTTAGCGTGGGTTACATAGCAAGTAAACCGGATTGAACTGATGGCAATTAGTAGATAAGAGTTTCTTTTTTTTTTTTTTTTAATTTTTTAAATTTATTTATTCATGAAAGTCAGAGAGAGAGAGAGAGAGAGAGGCAGAGGCAGAGGCAGAGGGAGAAAAGCAGGCTCCCTGCCTAGCAGGGAGCCCGATGCGGGACTCGATCCCAGGACCCTGGGATCATGACCTGAGCCGAAGGCAGACGCTTAACCGTCTGAGCCACCCAGGCGCCCCAGTAGATAGAGTTTCTTATTCTCACTCAGCTGCCCCCTTATGGTGGGTACTTGAATAAGTCCCTGAAATTGCCTAGGATCTTAACCTATAAAATAAAGCATTCAAACCAGATAATCTCAGATTTATTCAGCTCTTACTACAGGCCCCCATGCCTCCCAAATCCATACATTTAATTCTTAGTTGCTTAAAGAAAAAGACTTTAATGTAAGGTTATATGTGGGAAATAAAAAAAGGCAGGACAGTTGACCCTTGGAAAACATAGGGGTTAGGGGTGCCAGCCTTCCAATAGAGTAAAAAAATCCATGTATAACTTTTGACAGCCCCCAAACTTACTTAATAGCCTACTGTTGACTGACATCCTTACCCATAATATAAGCAGTTGATGAACACATTTTGTATGCTATATGTATTATATATTGTATTTATACAGTAAAGTAAGCTAAGGAAAAGAAGACATTATTAAAATCACAAGGAAGTGAACTGTACTGTATGTATCAGAAAAGTAAGCTAAGGAAAAGAAGACGGTAAAGTAAGCTAAGGAAAAGAAGACATTATTAAAATCACAAGGAAGTGAACTGTACTGTATGTATCAGAAAAAAATCCGTGTGTGAGTGGACCCGCACAGTTCATACCTTGTTGCTCAAGGGTGGGCTGGGCTGTGCTTGCTAGCTAATGTTTGTATTTCACAGGTGTCATATTCAGGGCTCTCCTTAGGAACTTAGGAGCTTTGGATGCACTAGGAGCAGCAGCAGGTTGCCCTTCCTCCCCTCTCCAGTTCCTTGGCACTTTCAGAGATTTGGGGGATATTGGAGGGTCCTCTGAAATCCGGGGAACTAGAAGGAAGGCAGGGATAAAGGAGAGCGCTATCTGTCAAAAGAACAAGAATGCAGGAAGAGGCATTTGGGAAACGATACAGGGTGATTTTCTCCCACTGAACGTACCAGAAGTATCTGGCTACTCTTTCAACACCTTTGTGCCCAGCTAAAGAACTCAAAATAAAACCCTGGAGATAATAAATACTGCTAACTCAGTGCAGAAAAATATTGTGGAAGGGATTTAGGTGGGGAGGGGATTGATTATTATGTGAAGAAGTCACCTACTTTCTTCTCTCTGTATGTATAAGAACTATATAACATGTTTAAAAATGGTAAGAGTTTTGATGTGGGAATAAAGAAAAATAACTTTTTAAATGGGTGTCAAGGCCAGGATTTTGATTCTCATTCTTTCGCAGGCCACTTCTTTCTTGTAGGCTGTGACGGTGAGTTCTTGTGTGTCTGCCTGTTAATGCTTTACCTGGAACAGGCTACCCTTGATGGTTTCCTGCTCGGCACCTAATAGCCAGCCAGCTTGTCCTTTAGTTTGGCTGCTTGTAGGAGAGCAGGTTCCTACTTTTGGTCTGACTTGGCCAGGGTCAGATGGTGAAGACAGGTTTGTCAGAGTGTAAGTGCTCTGAAAAGTTTCCCCAAGTGAGTCACTCCTTTTTATTATGTTTAAGCAAAAGAAGCTGCTTCAAGTATTTCAGATAACATGTATTTATTAATGTGTCTCTCTATTTGCCATAAGGAAAAATGTAGAACAGCTGTATTTCTATAGCATGTGTTATGGGGAATAGCACATTGTCTTTTATTTACATAACTGGAAAATCATTTCTAAAGTAGTTGTGTTGGCACTTGACTATCTTTTGCATTTTTAAATTTCAGAGGAACGCATTGTTCAAATACTTTAGTCTCTTTTTTGAAGTGTGTGTTGGAACTATATCTAAACAGCAGTATTTAAGTGACATATTTTTGAGAATTAAAAATATTGGTTGGTTCCAGATAAGAAGTATTTGAAAGGATTTTTTTCAGCCATCATCTTATCAAATACTGGCAGATCATGACATATTAAACATAAATTAATTTCGATTATGACTTTTTCCATTTGGATTTGCATGTCATTTTCAGTATCAACCATTGGGGCTTAAAATTACTTGATGTGCTTGTTGGGATTCTGAACACCATCCACTTTGTTTCCACATGTGTAAGGCTATTATTCAGTGGCCAGATGGAGGCAAATTGAATGCATTTGAAGGCAAGATATAGAATTGTTAAAATAATTATCAGCAGACTTTTTGAAGGGCCTTACCATGCTTTTAAAACTATATTTATTCATAGTGACAATTACAGTTTTATATGCTTTTGTTTCTTAATGGCAGAATATTGGAAGTGTCAAAATTCTGAATTTTCACAGCTCTTTTTTCAAATGTTTGTGGTAGCATGATGACAGTTACCATATGGACTTTGTTTTTTTTTTTTTCCTCTTTTTAATTTGGTTTTAAATTTTTATTAAAGTTATGTGTGGACAGAATTTAAAGAGTCACATAGTTTTATATAGTTTAATCAGGAAAAACTGGGTCCCCTTCCCACTTGCTCTTTCCTGGAATCACTTTTAGCATGTTTTTGAAGTTGAAATCCCCATGTATCTAAATGGTAGGCTTACAGTGCCATCTCTTGATTTTCCTGCCCTTTTTTTTTTTTAATCTTTTTTAAAAAAAGTTTATTTTATTTTAGAGAGAGAGAGAGAGCAGGTAGGGGGTGGAAGAGAGGGAGAAATAGAATCCCAAGCAGACTCCCTGCTGAGCGCAGACCCCAACGCAGGGCTCTGTCCCAGGACCCTAAAAGATCATGACCTGAGCCAAAATCAAGAGTCGGACGCTTAACCAGCTGAGCCACCCAGGCATCCCTGAAATGAACTTTTAATAGTTATGAAGTTACTGATGATGTAAAGTTGCTTATCTCTAAGAATTTATGGCAAAAAAGTAAAAAAAAAAATATTAATGTAGCTAAATTAACTTTTGGTGACTTGCCTGGTGTCTTTTATTTTTATTTTATTTTTGAGAGAGGGAGAGCTCATGAGTCGGGGGGCAGAGGCAGAGGGAGGGAGAGAATCTTGAGCAGACTCCATGTCCAGTGCAGGCTCAATCCTACAACTTGAGATCACGACCTGAGCTGAAATCAGGAGTCAGCTGATCAACCTACCAAGCCACTCAGGTGCCCCTTGCCTGTCATCTTTTAAAAATCTTTTTACTTTCAACTTTTTGATATCCTTAGGTGTGTATCTTTTTAAACAGTATATAGTATAAACAGTATAGTTTATACTATAAACTACTATATACCACAGTATATAGTATAAACAAACAGTATATAGTTGGATTTAAAAAAATCAAGTCTGCGTCTTTGCCATTTAACTGGAGCATTTAGTTCATTTACATATAATTGTTACTGTATTTGGATTTATATTTATGAGATCTTATTTTGTGTTTCCATTTGTTTCATCTCTGTGTCTTTGTCTTTTTTTTGGCCTTCATTTGGATTGACTATGTTTTTGTTTCACTTTTTCACCCTAATTTGTTTGAAAGCTATAGTCTTGTTACTTTTTTTTATTTTAATCAACTTTGTTGAGATATAATTTACATACAATAAAGTGCATTCCTTTAAAGTGTCAGTTTGAGTATTGACACATATACAGAAATTCTAGCTACTCTTGATGTTGTAACATACATTTTTACTATTCTGACGTTAATTGGGACCTTTCTTCTTTCTTTTAATTATAAAAGGAAACTTGGGATACTTTAAGTATAATCACCTCCCAAACCAATGTACACACTTTTAATTTATGTTTTAACTCTAGCTTTAAAAAAAAAAATCCATATGATGGTACTGCTTTGTGTTTTACATTAAGTGTTTAAGATTTACAGACATTTTTACTACTTTTTTGTTTTTTACTTCTTGTTTCTCAGACCTTCAGTCTGACTTTCCTTCTGCTGGAATTATGTCTTTTAGTCTGTCTCTCTCTTTTGGTTTGAAAGTGTCTTTCAAGAATGGTTATTCTTGAAAGTTAGTTTCTCTGGCTAATTTTTAAAAGTCAGCTTTATTGAAGTATAATTTTACATGCAGTAAATTATTCATCTTTAAGTTCAGTGAATTTTGACAAATTCATACAACTGTGCAACCACCAACCCAGCCAAGATACAGAATTATTTCTGTCACCCCAGGTGTGTCCCTGGGCCCCTGTGTCTTTGTGGTCAGTCTCCTTACCTCCTGCCCAGGTAACTGCTGATCTGCGCTCTGTCACTGTAGGTTAATTTTGCCTGTTATGGAACTTCTCATACTGGAATCCTATGTGAATGTACTC